AGGGGATTCAGTCTGCACTCAATTTCAAATCTGAGACATTCCGCTTCAGAGCTGAAAAGCTAAACACCCTACACTGCTTCTGAATTACTACAGGCATGACAAGTAAGATATACAGAATATAATCAGGGGTAATCACAATAGTAAGGAAGAAGCAAATCAACTGTATTAATACTTTATTTACATCATTACTGGAGCATCCAAATAAAGTACCATAAAAGGACTACGTCCAGACTAGCAGTACAGTACACACACCAACTAGCAAGCTGCAGTGTCAGGGGCTATCTCAGCAGATTTAATCAAAGACATTTTTAAGCACAAGTCTAAAATTAACCCAGAGCTACTGAGTTAATAAAAATATTCACACTACTGTAGATTGACTCCCACCCATCATCTTCTAAACACAAGATCTGTGCATGATGCTCTCAGGCCTGCAATATCACAGTCTGTTCAGCATTGCTTACAGTGAAAGTACATAGACGATACACAGATGGGATCAAACATGTAAATAGCTTCATCCGTTGGAAAATGGAAGACAGCAGCAAGACATGCCAATCAGAGCTTCAGCATGTTAAAATTTATATTTATATCAACATGCTATACACTTTACTGAGCTTTGGTAAAAAAAAACTGAAGTCATGTAGAAATCTACAGCATACTTTTTGGATATCATCACCTACAAAGAGAACACAGTTCAAGACAAAAATACTAATTTATGAGCTATTTAGATGTCTACAGGTAGATGTCATGGAGACTTTCAGAAGCTTTGCTCTAGATTTTTAGGTGGAATCATAGAATCAAAGAATCGTTTAGGTTGGAAAAGACCTTTAAGATCATCAAGTCCAACCATTAACCCAGCACTGCCAAGTCCTGCCCACTAAACCATGTCCCTCAGCACCTCATCTACACGTCTTTTAAATCCCCCCAGGGATGGTGACTCAACCACTTCCCTGGGCAGCCTGGTCCAGTGCTTGACAACCTTTTCGGTGAAGACATTTCTCCTAATATCCAACCTAAACCTCCCCTGGTGCAACCTGAGGCCGTTTCCTCTTGTCCTACCGCTTGTTACCTGGGAGAAGAGACTGACACCCACCTCGCTACAGCCTCCTTTCAGGTAGTTGTAGAGAGCAATGAGGTCTCCCCTCAGCCTCCTTTCCTCCAGGCTAAACAAGCCCAGTTCCCTCAGCCGCTCCTCATCACACTTGTTTCTCCAGACCCTTCACCAGCTCCATTGCTCTTCTTTGGTCATGCTCCAGCACCTCAATGGCTTTCTTGTAGCAAGGGGCCCAAAACTGAACACAGTATTCGAGGTGCAGCCTCACCAGTGCCGAGTACAGAGGGACGATCACTTCCCTAGTTCTGCTGGCCACACTATTTCTGATACAAGCCAGGATGCTACAAAGCTTCTTGGCAGATGGGATGGAACACACAGCGCTGGGTAAATCTCTTTCAAAGTCCAGAGCAGATGACCAAAAAGGTGTTTCTGAATCAGGAAGCTCTTCTGAAAGTTCACTTCTGACAGGCAAATACAACCTCGGGATGATGAGGCCTCTTCTGGGTTTTTTGTTTGTTTTATAAACCACCTTCAGCTCCATTCAAATGAGAATGAATTCCACAGAGCTGATACCAAACCTTGACCAAACCTCAAGGGAATTTGCCAAGATGACAAAGGTGAATACATGAAGGGAACAGCATTCTTGAGACACCCCAGGAATAAGTCTCCTATTCAGCATGGCTGATAACCCACAACTCCACAGCAATCCAGAGAGCAAGGAGGCACTTCATCTTGCTGAGGCCATCCAAGAGGAACTGAGGACCACACAATACACTTCAGCAGGGACCAGCAACTAAAACAAAGAGGTACTGGTAGGGCAAGACATGTATGATCTTGATTGCTTACAGTGCACAAGTATCCATGCTTGTCCATATTCTGAATAGGAGCAGGCACTCGAAGGGTATGCTCTTTTTATGTACAATACGAACTTGCACAGGCTTGGAATAACTGACACTGCAGGTTACCTAAGTTACATGTTATGCGTACAAGCACATGCAGTTCTAAATTGATTGAAACATACCATTTCACTGTAACACGGGGCTTACAGCCATCTTAATTAAGCACAGTTCAGAAGAATATATTATCTGTCCCAATTTTAAGTAATTAATGCCTGTTGACTGGTTCTTCAACACTCACTACACAACCCATACTAACATTAAAAAAAAATTGCTATAATTTGTTTCTAACGCATTTTCTTAAGGTAACAAGATACGTGAGATGTGCGCAGGGCTCCTCCTTCCCCTGTAGCTGGGCATTAGGGAACCCATGTGGGTGAAAGTCGTTATGAATGAAAGCCACAGGAAACCAAACTCCAGTGCCGCTTTCACCGCTGTTATTTTTATCAGTCCTATACTGCTAGAAAGTGTACATGCTACTTCCTTCACAAACTTCATATATACGTTTCATCAATTTAGCCCACTAAATTATACTCATTATTAAAAATAAGCAATGGGTTTGAAGCCTGAGCCCTCCAAAATCTGAAAACTCTTCATATTTACTCAAACTATACAAAGGAGCTGTGGGAAAAGTGGAAGTAAAGACTGGAGATACATGCTGGCTTGTTACAACAGAGAGTCAGACATAACCAGAGGAATGCTTAGTAACTACACTTCTGTTTCCACACTTAAAGGAAAATGAAGAGACCCACACAACTGGAGAGCTAATTCTCAATATTGTCAGCACCACAAGTTCCAGAGACTGACATCACAGCTGAATTTTTAAAGGTTTAATTCTAACAGCAACGTAAGAATCTCTTGGAAGCCTTTATTAATCATAAAGGAACAAAAAGGGCCCAACTGTAACTTACTAAAAACACACAGAACTGTGGCCTTCCTGGATTCTTCCAAAACACCTACTAAAATTGCAACTAACATTGTCTGCTGCTAGTTTTCATATTTAACTGAAGAAACAAGGTGTGAGGGGAAAGGAACTGTTGCTTCCACGGTTCTAAATTTTAGGTCAACAGATATTACACTATAAACTTCATCAAGACTTCAAAGCTGCCAAGGGCAGTGATGGAATCAGCATCGCCACGAATATATAATGCTATTATTCCTAAAAATTGGTGTTCTGAAGTCCAGTTTTCTGGAATTATCAACATCTTTGTCAGCAACAGGCGAAAACTACCTCCCAGCATCAAAAATCCCCAGAAAGTATGGGGGATATGCACTTAGTGAAACCATGAAAGCAATGACTGAGGTCAGTTGGCTTTATTCACACAGATCTACACCACAACGTTCTGCAAGAAGCATAATGAAAACACTGTTTGCAAAGTGGATATTGTTTAATTTCGTCGGTCTGACAGTACAAACGCTGCCCAAGAACGAGTATCTTGTAACTGGAATAAAGCAAAGGATCAGGATTATCAGAACGAACGTAAGATTTAAACACATGCACACATCTATAGAAACCACATCCGATACAGTCGGACACAAGCATGGATGAGAAGCCAGGGCTTCCCACAGTACAGAACCAGAAATACAGATCTAGCCAGGGAGATCAAAGATCAAATCCCAGTTATTTCAGACTCCCTACCAATAGATGTGCGCAGTATACAAAGTCTCTAGTATATCAGGGCCCATGATACCACTGTACTGGCACTAAAACAAAGTATCTAGGACCTCAGGAAAGCCCTTTAAGGAATAATAAAAAAATAATAAAAAAAAAAAAGGTGAAAAACCCATTATTCAGCTAACAGTTTTCATAAATACCAGTATCAGAAGACCGCTTCTGTAAAAAAATAAAAAGGGAATTGATTCATCTTATACTTGATTCCTCAGGGAGGTCGTAATTCTGCATTTTGATACCAGTTATCTGTTACAATGCAACATTGTGGTGACTTTCCTTAGAGTAAATATACTTATGCGCACAGAAAGTCACTGTCCAAGCGAGTAGGACAGTGGCAGAAAGCCAGAGCCCCACCACGAACAAATGACCTCGAGACAAAACCTCCAGGAGAATTTTAGCTAGCAGCAAAAGCATTTTTAGGAGCAAATGTTTCTGTTACAGATTAAATATAGTTGCTTTCCAAGCAGTATTTAATTAGTCAAGCCAGAACATTTTACAGCTGTTGCTTTTAAACCCACCCCTGCCACCCCCCCCCCCCCCCCCCCCCGGGGCTGATTCTTCTCACATACCCTGCTCTTGACCTGCATCTTCTCCCTTTCCCTAGGCAGGTAAATGTACCTTTCGTTATTGATTAAGCAGCATCCATCAACAACACTTTCCTAAATGAGCACATCAATGCTCCCCCAAAGAGTCACTGAATCTTTGAAACCTAACTCCTAAAGATACTGTCCTGTACTCAATGGGTCATGTTTTATGAACACGGAAGTTCCAATGTTTTACTATAAAAATGAAATTAAAACAAAAATCACACCCTAGATGTACTTAAAGGAGTACAAGAGTACTGCAGATGTAATTTTAAGTCATTATGGTATAGTTCTGCCTACTAAATAACAGTGGTATAAAAAAGCTACATAAAAAATAGTATCTTCTCAAAAATCTACATCTGCTTTAATAAGGCATGAAGTGATCCGAAGAACCAGGACCATCTGAGCTAACAGAAGTAGTCCACTACCTGTTCGATGTTCCACCCAGCCTTCGCAAGTGGAAAAAAGACTTGGAGAAGAGGATACAAAGAAAAATTAACATGAGCTAGGAAATGCAGGATGTGTTGTGAGGATGGACAGTCTAATACTTCTTATTGTACTAGTTCATCACACTATCTAAGAAAAAATGAACACTTCCAGCCACAGTTGAAATAACACTCCAAACAAGACCACTGCTACTGATCATTATTATGTTCTTAAACAGCTGGTTTTGCCATAGCCAACGTAATTACAGCATGTAGCCATGATATACAGAACTTTGCTCCCCAAAGTTATTAGTATTATGCAATACACATTAAGCAGTTTGTGAAATACAAAAATACAACATTGAAACTTACAGTATTTAACAAAATCCTTCTGAAAATCTTTCCTAGAATTGACAAAGGCTCTTCCTCTCTCAGTTCCAACTACAAACACATCTGTTTCGTATACAGCAATACAGGCAACTTCTGCCTTGGACTTGGCAAGTTCTTTACACTATAAAAAGAAAAACAAAAAGCTTTTATTACCATAGTTCAGAGTACAGTTAATAGAAATGTATGTGGTATCATGTAAAACAGTTATTACTTCTGCTGCCAGCATCCACCCTTCAGAAGGTACTGCAAATAACATAACATCAGCCATTAGCAAAGGATAATTTATACATCTGGAACGCTTTTCATCAGGAATCTTAAAAGCGTTGTAGATGCATTAGTGAAATTAAGGCCTTGTCTAGATTCAGAGATTGCAGTTTTTAATTAAAATGATTTACGACATCAATCCATGTGAAATTATCACTTCCCTGTTAGATAATCATATTGAGTGTCTTACTCCAACTTTCAACAGAGCGCACAGGAGTTTCGTTCATTCACAGCACACTTATCACACATCGTGTTCTGTTCAGAAAGGTGTGGCTGCAAGCAGGAAGGCTGCCCGCAGTCTGCCTCGTCCTGCCTGCTGCGCTCAGGCTCAGATGAATTCCTTCTGAGCGGAAGGATTGCACCTTCCCTGTGAACAGCGACGTGTGCTCTGCTGGGAGAAATTTCTGGCAAAGTAGTAAGGCAGGAAGCCTGCGGCGCAAGGAGAGAGCAAAGATCCTAAGAAAATTAGTGAGATCATCAAGAAGTGATCACAAAAAGTCACTTTCTCCTAGGAACTCGGATCAGAGTTTGCTGCAACCTATAAAGACACCAACAGCTACAGCATGAGAGGAAAAAGTGACACAAAGCCTTTAAGAACCAAAATATACCCATTGGGAAACAAGGCTTGCAATCAATGACCTTATAAACATCCCACTCAAAGTTTCATTGCTAAAAAGAAAATTTTTGTTCTTGCTTATCATTTGCGAAAACAATTTTAAAGAACCAAATCTTTGACAGTGCCTCAACTTTAAGGAAACGGGACAGGCATTTCCACTCACAGCCCTGGCCAACCTTAAACCCCACCACACAATGATTAAGTAACTTCTACAAAACAGGTGATATGCCAACTTAAAAAAGTATTTTCTGAACAAGTTTTGTTGAATTGGTACAGCAGCTGAGGACAAGGCATTAGCCTCAAGACCATTTATTCACTCTATATTACAGATGACAAAGACCAGAACATACTCTTGCTTTTCAACCACGCTCTATCTGTGCAATCAAGAAATATTTCCCGTTTATTTGACAAAACAATTTTTAAAACAACCACACCACAACAAGAAACAAGATGGCTTAAGAAGACTGTTAGCATGATTTTCCACAAGCAAAGAGACAGAGTTCCAGCTGGTTGGAGAGCATGCAATAAGGTAAAGATGTAACATTACACCTTTCCTGCTCCCCAGCAGGAGGCAATATACTGGTGTAATCCTGCACGTGCCAAGACAGAGTTACGACACAGCTGTTTAACTTCTCTACTAACCATTGACTCAAGTGCTGACATGAGGAATGTAACCGCCATTCTGCTTTCAGAGGAGTCCTCATCATGGATGGATGTTGCTGGTGCGGCAGTTTGGGCCATTTTCCTCCTACAAAATGAAATAAAAAATCCTGTTCAGATACACGCAACAGCGCAAGAAAACTAAAACCTCTCTTATGTAAGCAAAGGAAAAAAAAAAATTAGAAAAACCCAGAACAGAGCCCACCACACACACATGCGAGCAAATAGACAGGTAAATTAACGGGAGGAAGCGCCCACTCCTCCGTTCCGTCACACTTCCTGCTGTTTCGTCCAAAGCTGGAGCTAAACATTCAACAGTCAAAATGCTGTGCCATGACTAGATCACAAACCCTTTGCGCCTAGAAAGATGCATATTAATTGATTAGCTGAATTTACATCAATTTTTCTTTCTAAGCATGTTTGCAACTCCAGCAGTCTAAACAAACACAGCAAAACACACTGGCATTAACGTACAGAAAAGAAATGGCAAGTCGTAGTTATGACACAAGTATTGGAACAACCCTTCCTGTAATTATCACGGCCTAGCTCAGAACAAACCACCACCACCCTGCCCCAAAATCATGGCCTCAGAGACTACAGTATCAGTAACCAGAACATGACGTTTTTATTCGCATATTCTTCAGTTGTAGGATTAACTCCAAAGCTAAGTAGTCCCAATTAAGGTGCTAAAATTAAAAACTGAATTTCAGCAGTGACACATAAAAGAGATTTAAACCTACTTTCTTTATGTCATTCAGGAGACTTTCAACTTATTTAAGACATAAGTAATAATCAGGACTTGTTTATGCTTCTGCTGGCAGAATCTTCTATACGAGAACGAATATATCGAGAATGAAGCTTCCGTAGCTGCTAAGAGCACATTTTTCTATTGGAGTATTGCAACTTGCTACGTTTACATGTATCTAAAGCAATAACCTGACATGCCTGGAGGAGGAGAGAAGTGGTAGAGATTTAGCTGTTACAACTCCATGCGCAAGTCTTGAGAAAAATCACCTCAGAAGTCAAGATAGCTGAGATAAATGAGATTTCACAACAGCTCGATGAGACAGCTTGCTGCTCCTGTAGAACCTGGACACATGACGTGGCCCAAGTTTTCAAAGGTGACGTGTACCCTATTAGATGCGCAGACAAGTCAGGGCAGCACAAATAACCATTGCATGTGATAATACACACTTACATTGGAAAAAAATGGCACTGTGTTGTTCTTTTGATAGGACTTGGAGCACTTCAGACTACAAATTGGAGGCGAGGGGAGAAAAAAAAAAAAGCTAGCAACGCTGCAAGCTCACAACAGACGTCCAGCAGCCTTCTGGCTCTCCAGACACAGGCCGGCAAGGTTTAAACAGCTTTAGAACTGCGTTATGGATAAACTGGCAGTGGCAGAGTCAGCAGCTGTTTGAGGATGCAGGTAATGAGAGGTTTGAACACCGGCACCTGCTACACCGAGGAGCAGGCAAACAGGTCCTTCGTCAGGTCTGGAAAAGGAGCAAAACTTCAGGAGTGAATATAAAGGAATAACCATTGAACTATGTTGACTGCTTCAGTGATCTAAGAGAGGGTCAGCTGGGGATGGGGAGGCAGAGGCTGATGGAGTTATCCTCCAGAGGAAGAGGGGCATCTTACTTATTGCTTGTGGAATATCAGAGGGAAAAAGGGAGATCATGATGTGATGTAAATAAATCAATCTTCATTGGGCCATGATTTTTGATACCTAATAGAATTCTCAAGCTCATCTTTGGAACTCCTTTAGGGTTAGGATGCTGACAGTGATTTTAAACATGATAGCTTTCAGACTTTTTAAAACTATCTTAACAATCCAATATTAAAGATGAAATAGAACATAACTACACATTTCCCCTTTCTCCCACGTCTCTACTCGCTGTCTGATGCAGCTGTTCTGCATCGGTTCAAGACCTCCCAAGCTAGCAATGGCACAAACATACGCACCTACCCCATTCTAGGTGAGAAATCAGGCTGTGTAAAAACAAGAGTAAACTTATTTTCTATTTTGCAGAGGCACCTTGTCCAGAAAACAGACCAAGGAAACTCTAGCAATCATTTGAAGGCTGTGGATGCACAAGCACATCAGAGAAGTGCCAGCTCCGGCCATCTCCCCTATGGAGAATTGCTCCCATCCCTGGAAGGTGGTTTCTGATCCACAGGCAGAGGAGGAGAGGGGAGGAGAAGTGCTCCACTGGACCGGGTCCCAGTTTGATTCACTGCACAGCCCCACAAACAGCCATCCTAGCTCAACGGAGAGGACAGCATATCCTAAGCTACCTTGCTGCTGCACGTGAGGCCACAGCCTCAGTATCTCGGAATCACATTTGGATCAGGAGTTGGGTCAGGTTATCATTGGACTATTCTTCTAATAACATTTGGAAGAGTCTTTACAAAGTATAAAGTCATAGTGCCTTTTATTTTTAGGATACCCATTCTTTAACCAGTTTGCATGGTGCCAGATCAGTGTTTAATGTAGATTCAAGAGACATCCTGTTGCACCATGGCAGCACAAGAATATTTTTTCCTACCCGCTTGACAGCAAGTCACACATGAAAGATTTCCCCCCTCTCCCATTTCACCAGTGTCGTGGTTTAACCTCAGTCAGCAACTGAGCACCACACAGCCGCTCGCTCACTCCTCCTCCCCACCCCCGGGTGGGATGGGGGAGAGAATTGGAAGAGTAGAAGTGAGAAAAACTCGTGGGTTGAGATAAAAACAGTTTAATAATTGAAATGAAATAACAACAACAACACTACTAATGATGTAATAATAATAATAATACCACCACCACCACCACACAAAGCAAGTGATGCACAGTACAATTGCTCACCACCCGCCGACCGATGCCCAGCCAGTCCCCGAGCAGCGGCCCCCCCGGCCAGCTTCCCCCAGTTTATGTACTGAGCATGACGTCCCATGGTATGGAATGTCCCTCTGGCCAGTTTGGCTGTGCCCCCTCCCAGCGTCTTGTGCCCCTCCAGCCTTCTCAGTCGGTAGAGCATGGGAAACTAAAAAGTCCTTGGCTAGTGTAAGCATTACCTAGCAACAACTAAAACATTGGTGTGTTATCAACATTATTCTCATCCTAAATCCAAAGCACAGCACTGCACCAGCTACTAAGAAGGAAATTAACTCTATCCCTGCCGAAACCAGGACAGCCAGTTTCTCCCTTTCAAACAACAGTTTTTTTCACTATCCTTATCTATACCACTAGGAGAGTGTTTATTAGAAAGAGTAGGCTATGGTTCAGTAGATCTAATGAACCTGGCTGCCTTTCCAAGATCCAGACCTTAGAAAGTGTGTGACAACTCCACTGCCCAATGTAAATCCCCAGTGCAAAGCCTTGAAAAAAGTGTAACACCTTACCCATTGCCAACGTCCCACACAAAAAGGCCAATTTAAAAACCATCCTTTGAACAATTATAAGCTGGCTGCCAGAGTAGCACTTATGATATATCTTATTAATTTTAATCACATATTGCTAAAAAAGAACTTCCAGATCAGTTAATATTAGTTATAATTACCTTATAAAATCCTTCAGTTTAACTGTGCCAAGATAAGCCTTTGCCCAAGCAAAGGCTTGTAAAAATGAACAAAGCCTTGCAAAATACACTGGTAGAGTACCAAGGACGTGGCATTTAGTCATTCCTGCCTGCAGTTTAACCCCAGCCGACAACCAAGCCCCACCCAGCCGCTCGCTCACTCCCCTCTGGTGGGACGGGGGAGAGAATCGCAAGGGTAAAAGTGACAAAACACATGGGTTGAGATAAAGACAGTTTAATAGGTAAAGCAAAAGCTGCACACGCAAGCAAAGCAAAACAAGGAATTCATTCACTGCTTCCCATGGGCAGGCAGGTGTTCAGCCATCCCCAGGAAAGCAGGGCTCCATCACGCGTAACGGTGACTTGGGAAGAC